CCTCTCCTCCTCCTCCTCTCTCTCTCTCTCTCTCTCTCTCTCTCTCTCTCTCTCTCTCTCTCTCTCTCTCTCTCTCTCTCTCTCTCCTCTCTCTCTCCTCTCTCTCTCTCTCTCTCTCTCTCCCTCCTCTCTCTCTCCCCTCCTCTCCTCTCTCTCTCTCCCTCTCCAGGAGTACGAAGTTTCCAACGGTCTGGAAGGACTGCAAGGAGCGTACAGGGGTAACAAGAGCATGTGCATGGTGGGGGCAGGAGGTGAAGGAAAGGCAGAGGCCCTGGGGCTCGTCAGACTGTCTGGGCCGACCAACTTCAGCAGTGTAAGGGAGGAGGGAGAGGAGGAGACAGGAGGAGAAGGGAGGAAGGACTGGGGAGGAAGGAGGGAGGAGAGAAGAGGGAGGAGGTGGAGGAGAGAAGAGGAGGAGGTGGAGGAGAGAAGAGAAGGAGATGGAGGAGGGAGGAGGGAGGAGGGAGGAGGGAGGAGGGAGGAGGTGGTTGAAGGAGTGAAGAGGAGTTGGCATTTAGTGGTGAAACTTGTTCAGGTCTTGAAACACGTTCGAGAAAAGGTGGAGGAACGGATGAAGACGTCAGCTCCAGGCACCGAGTATCACGGTGCATGAGGGGCGGAGGAGTGAGAGGAGGAAGGAGGAGGTGTGGAGGAGTAAGTGGTGGGTGCTGCTGCTGCTGCTGGTGGAGGAGGAGTAAGTGGTGTTGGTGGGAGGAGGAGGAGGAGGAGGAGGAGGAGGAGGAGGAGGAGGAGGAGTGCAAGGAAGGGGTGACATTGCTGGCAGTCATGCTGATCCTAACGGATGGAGAGATCTGTGATCTTCCCAACACGACGGAAGAGATCATCAAGGTACGCAATCTTCCGCTTTCTTCTCTCATCCTTTTCTCCTGTCAGTGCTCTTCGCTCCCCATCTCGATCATCATCGTCGGAGTCGGCAAAGTGAGTCTGATGGATAGGCTGGCACTCGCGTGCTGACCTACAACTCAGGGGAACTTTGGCAAGATGGAGAAACTTGACAGCGACGATTCGGTTTCATATCTTACAACATGCTTCTATCTCACAAGATCCATTTCATCTCTTGACATCCTTTCATCTTTCAACTTCCATTCATCCCGTCCCGCCGCTTGACTCACTGACTTCTACTCTCACAGCTCCTCAAAGGCAAAGGAGGCAACAGGGCAGAAAGGGACGTCGTTCAGGTCCCCTCCACGCTCCTCTGCGCTCCTCCTCTCATCTCGTCCCAATCAGTTCGTCCCCTTCCGCAAATACTCCGGCAACCGGGCTGGAGAGCAACTTTCCGGTGTGTCGTATCTTGACTTTTGTTTCCTCTCACTGCACAGCAGAGGCCGTGCTGGCTGAGATGCCTTATCAGCTCCTGGCGTACATGTGCAAGGTCAAGCTCCCTGCTCCCTCTCCTCTTGATGTTCTTGGCAGAACCGTGTCAAGCCTGCGGTCAACTGGCCCTTCGAGCTTCCGGTGAGAGCAAGCGGCAGAGAGGGAACAGGAGCTGACTGTTGCTAGAATGAGCCCTGGGTGCAGTGACGTAGCCAGTCTTGGAGAACGACATGCTTTTTCTTCTCATATTTGTCTCGAGCAGAATCTGTTGAAAACCATGTTTTGAGTGGTTGGCAGCATCCTTTCACCCGCCATCTTGTTCTTCTCCCCATGTTTGGTATCTACATGTTTGTTCGCCAGCAGACCTCTTGACATCATACCTTCCTCTTCCACTCTCACCGGCATCCAGCGATCAGGAGCTACCTCACTCCAGCGCTGGGCCAGTCAGTCGATCCGTCAGACTCGCTGAGGATACGTGAGCACTACGGAGTGTACGATGATGGCTGTGTTCCCGGGAGGTACTTCCATCGTCAGGTCGACCGATCGTTTCAGGGCGAACTGGCGCATGATAGCGAGCGGGATACTGATGCTGGTCACGAAGCCCTTGGAAGGCTCGTACTGGGAGTAGTCCCCCGCAAACAACCAGCCGATCTCCTCCCCGTCGTTGCCTGCCCTCAGTCTGACGGCGTTCAAGAAGGGCCACCGACTCTGCTGCTGCTTCCACTCGGCTCGAGGGTCCCGCGAGCGCAAGAGCTGGACGTAGAAGGGCTCTCTCCCCGCGAACAAGTAGGGCTGCGGGTCAGTCAGCGTGTTCAGCTTCGTGTCCTGGCTGGTGAAGCTCTCGGCCTGCCGATAGCCCTTGTCCTCCAGGTACGCGTGCACCCACAGCAGAGCGTCTCCTGCTGCCGGGGGAGCGTCGCCTTGGAAGGTGAAGTGGAACTTTGAAGGACGGTAGAGGCGCGAGCCGAACCCCATCCCGCTGCTCTCGTCCAGCTGCAGCATCCGCGCGTTCCCGCTCGCGTACGTCAGCTTGAGGGGGTTGAATCGAACGGGAGAGCGCTGGGAGATCTGAGGTGCAGTCAGGAGCTCCTCGACGGGACGAGAACGTACCTTGAAGTTGAGCGACAGGGAGGAGGAGTTGGCCAGGGCCTGACGCAGCAGATCTCTAGAGATGTTGAACATCTCTGTGTGACTGGCCGAGCGATTCTTGTCGATGAGGGTGAAAGCCGACCTGTAACAACTTCTGTTGGGGTACAAGCCGACGCCAAGACAGAGCTCTGCGATGTCTGCCGGTTGACTGATGGCGAAGAACTTGGTGCCTGAGCTCGGCTCCTGTGAGTAGGAGCGGTCATGGAGGCAGAGGGTGAGAGGGAGAGCAAGCTACCACGCTTGTGAACAGTGTCGACAACAAGGTATCGTTGTAGTAGACGCCAATAGAGCCCTCCATGCGATTTGCCTCTGCTGTCACTTTGATGTGGCCGTCGCTCAAGACCGGAACCCCTTGGGGGACGGGGAAGGAAACGTTGTAAGACAGGTCGCTCGGTTGCTGCAGATACACAACATCAACTCGCTGACAGCAGCTCGCTGCAGTGCTAGTCGCTGATTTTACCTCGAAAACATTCCCAGGGATGGCGACAGAGACGCATGAAGAAGGGTTGAAGGCCAGGGTGAGCGATTGAATCTGCAGGCGTCCTGTGCAGTTGGGCGAGGTCTCAAGAGTGAAATACTGCGACGCGGGTGAGCAACATGCTTTTCAAGGAAGAAACAGAGAGCAGTACCATAACTTCATCAGAGCTCATTGCAATCATCTCGTCCTGCGACAGTACGATGGCGCCTTGCAACTTGTCAACACTCTGCAGAAACATCCAAGTGACTGAGCGGTCGACAGCCATCCATGCGTCCTCACCCGAGACTGTTCGTCCTTGTCGAAGAGAACTCCAAGAGTTTCGCCCTGCTCGCCCTTGACAGCGATGTTGCACCAGGGATAGAACATGTCGAGGTTCTCGAGGATGTGAATCTGAGCCGTCAGAGTTGCCGCGCTGCAGACTGTGGGAAGAGACTGGAAGGCGAAGACTCTTCGGAAGGGGAGCAGCAATGACGACGACTCTCCGACGCTTTGCTGGCAGAAGAAAGGTCGAGAGTTGGCAAATGCCTGAACAAACGTCACGATCAATGCAGGACATCGACTGCCGGGACTGATCTACCCGCTCTGCCTCCGTGAAGTCAAGGTAGCTGATGCGATAGGTCGAGGAGCTGTTCAACGGTTCAATGTTCTCAGAGCTGTTCCCGATCACTTGAACCTGTTTTCCACCATGTTTAGCACGAAGAACAGCATGCTATGAGACATGAAGTACAGCATGCTATGAGACATGAAGTATGGAAGGAGAGGAGGCAGAGGAAGGAGGGAAAGGACAGGGTTCCTACCCTGGCTGCGTACTTGCTACTCAGCAAATATTCAGCCCCGCTAGCGATGTTGGCCCAGCTTGGTACCTTGACAACCATCAGGACGACAGGTAGGAGGAAGCACTGACCTCATGAGAGTCTCGGTAAGCGCTGCCGTTCACTGACAGCGTAGCGGTTCTGGTGGCTCCGTCGTAGCGGACGACTCTAGCCTGCCGCAGGAGGGTCAGGGAGGAATCGCAAGGGAGGGAAGCTCGTGCCCGGTAGCTCGTCCCGATGAAGTGAATCAGCTCTCCTTCGAACCATCCGTCCGCTGCTGGAGCCCGAGGGCCCAGACCGACGCTACACACGCACTGCCCGGAGGAACAGGCTGAGGTAGACGCCATGCAGAGGGAGCTGGAGTTGTAAGACGTCCCCGCGCATTCGCACGAGAGGCTGCTAGATAGACTCCCATACGAGGAGTTGAGGAAATCAACTGATCGCGCCCGATCGATGATGACGTTTGAGGGAGTCTTGGTTATCGCGTACGCATCTCCTTGCAGTGGAGTGTGTTGAAGGCCAGTCGCAAGCGTCAACAACTTCGAATCAGCTACAACAAGCATCAGTTGTGCAGCAAGCAAGCAGGTCACAGACTACCTTCATACTGCTGTATCCCCACAGCGTGCCCCGCGTTCTCTCCGGAGAGCATGACAAGGGTGTAACCGTTGTAGTAGCCGTCAACTGCACTGGCGTCTGTTCCCCACAGTGAGACATGCGACGCGTCTGTCGAGTTCTCTACAAGTCGGCCAGGGGTCGAGTCCCCGACCACTCCAAACAGGAAGAAGTCTTGACAGCCCTCGCCCCCATGGGAGATGGTGAAGCCCACCGAGTCTTGGTAGCCCTCGCCGGGATTCAGGATAGTCACCGAGGATAGGTACCCGCTCAGAGACGGCTCGAGTAGGATGTTCCAGCAGCTGGGGTTCTGCTGTGGGCCAGGGGACACCTTGAGAAAGGTGAAGGGGTACACGTATCCGGCGCCTGGATCTACCACCATGACGTTGGAGAGCGCGCTGCCGTTGGAGTAGTAGTAGGCAAGGAAACCCGAGCCCTGCTCTTGCCGTGGACATGTCACCGTGGGTATTGAGGCCTGATTGTACCCGTGCCCTCCATCCTGCACTTGGATCCGAGTCACGTCCCCGAAGCCGTCGGTGAAGCAATGTGCTCTCAGGCCGTCCCCTCCGCAGCTCTCGTTGCACACTACGATAGCAGGGCCGTCGATGTAGTACGTGCCCGTCAGGAACTCCCCGTGGGTGGTCGGCTGGATGCTCCTCACCACCCCTTGGATCACGCTGACCTGATCGAAGGGCCCTTCCTGTACCGAGACGACCTCCACGTTCCCTTCAGGGCAGCGGATCGTTGGCTTGTGGCTCAGTGAGTACCCGGCGCCGCCATTGACGATGGAGGTCGCGGTGATATCTCCAGCAGACGCAGTGCACTGCACAGTCAGGCCGGACCCTTCGCAAGGCAGCTCGCAACTGATCCATGCAGGGCCTGACACGTACCCTGATCCTACAACAGCAGAACTCACGAAGTCCAGGGATGTGACTGTCCCCTTGCTGTCGACAGCAGCGATGCTGAACGATCCCTGGTTCCCCTCGGCCACCGAGGCAGCACAGTCGACGCCACCGGACTGTATCACAACGGAGGGGATGGAGTAGAGGACGTTGAAGGAGGCGTTGAACCCCGTGCCATTGGGGGAGGAGGCGACGAGGAACCCTCCCCGCTGACAGCCTGATCCAGCATGCACGATCGAGACTGAAACGATTCCACTCCTGATGTCCCACTGGAATGCACCGACGTAATCGGTGATCTCACCGATCATTCCTGCAGATTTCCCTCCTGAGAGCTCCATGTGTTTGCCAACATAGTAGTTGTAGGCGTCAGCAGACGTGAAGAGATCTAGCTTCATATTCCATGTATGAGAGTTTGCGTCCCAATAGGCCGATCGAAGATTTCCTTGAGATAAAGCCAAGAAAGTAGCGCATTCCAACCCTGGTCTGTTGAACTCAAGCTCATACCTGAGCGCACTTGTTTGGCCGACTTCGTGAAAGATTGAGTCCAAACTGGATGATGTCGCCGTTCCCGGAGAGCTTTGCGATCCTGTTGAAGGCAAATCACCTTCAATCATCTGGAACAGACTCAACTGGGTCTTTTCTGTGCCGGAATAATATCCTCCTCGGATCTGAATGAACTCTATGTTGCTCAACGTTTGCATCACGTCAAACTTCGTCGCAACCACGTAGTTGATCGGTGTTGTGATCTTTCCATAACGATTCACCTTTGGAATCATTTGCCATTGTTGGTACTCATTGATCTGCACATCATACACCCCTGACATAAGAGACCCGTCCCTCACGCCTCTGATCCCTATGTTTGGAAGCCTCTTGTTTGGTATCAGGATCACATCATAATCATCAATGAAAGCTCCCGACCATTCAAGACTCTGAATTGAAAAGCGGAGGGTGGAGTTGTAACCAGACTCTTTGAACTTGTTCAGCGACCCTTGGGGAGTTTGGAACCACCAGGAGCAGTTGCAAGCATCTTTCATCTTGATCGCATTATCTCGAGCATTTAGTTCTAGCGTGTATGGATTCTGTGTCCCGTTCGGCATGTACACCGACCAGTTCTGTTGCACGAAGTTGACGTTGAGAATGACGTCTCCTGGCTTGCAAGAGACGAGCGGCAGCAGGTAGGCAAGAATGAAACTGACGGCCATGAGCATGGCTGGCATGACCTGATGTGGAAGGGAGAAGGAGAAGAAGAATCAGCAGAGACTCTGATAACAGAGGCAGGAGGCTTGTCGTCCTCACGGAGAAGTTGGTGTAGGAAGCAGGTCAAATCAAAAGGAGCGTCAGCAGGGAAGTAGCGACCTCAATATGTGATGTTCTCTCTGGGGACTGCTCATCCACTGCAAGCTGTCGGTTGTCGATCTCACTCCTCCTGCATCGCATCCTCTTCCTACTCGTCCTCTTCTTCCTCCTCGTCTCGTCTCCTTCCCACGATCATCGCCGCCGCTTCATTCTTCCTGCACCGACCTGACTGCATATCCTCAAACCGACGTGCCTATCAAGTCGCAGCATTCAGTGACCGTGGACTGTCCGCGGCCGGGTCACCGGTGGCGCGCGGGCCGCGGCCCGGCCCGCCGGGCGGCCCGGACTCCCGGGCCGGATCGGATCGGACCGCTCTCCCCCCCCGGCCGGCCGCGCGGCCGGGCCCCGGTGACGGTCGGACTGACTCACCGGTATCCGTGACTGAGTTACTAGTTTGGCCCTGAGGATCCGACGGCGGGACCGTACGGTACAGCCGTACCGTACTGGGTCACCTTTACTCAAAGTTAAGTGAAAAATCAGTACCGTAGGACAATCGCCAGGATAGTCGAGGACTGTATGTGTTGCCCCCGGCCCGCCGGATAGCAGTGCCACTGAGTGGCACCCGGGTCACTTGTGACTCGGCAGCTGAGGCTTCCGAAGTTCCCGGCGAGGCCGAGTCCGAGTCATCATGAGGCGAGTCTGATCAGGCCACCGGGCCCGGGCCGGTAACTCAGTTGACTCTGAAAATCCAAGGCCCCCGCTTGAAAGTCGGATGCCTCCAGCGGCCCCCCCGGCCGGGGCCGGCGGCCCCCCAGGCTGCCGGCTCCCGCCCCCCACAGCTGACCGTACTAAGCGGCTGAACCGTCTTGGCCCCCCCCCCGTCGGACCTCCGACTCACTGGCCAGCCGCACCCGATGATCGGCTGAGCGGGGATCGGACCCGCTGGGCCGCCGGCGACTGCGGCGCGTGGCCCCAGTCACTGAGCCATCGGACATTCCGAATACAAGTGAAAGTTGACAGTCGACCTAAAGTTGTTCAGAAAGTGAAAAGATCTCTTTTCGAGTCTGCAGGTGCATTAGGGGAATATTCATGTACCCCTCCATTCTATGTGAACTTTCTTGTACCCCTCTTTTCGTTACCCCCCTTTCCCGTTTACCCCCTATTTCCCTCCGTAGTACCCCGATTAAAGAAGGGTTGATTACCCCACCCTCAGTAGGCAGAGAACTGTAATCTCTGTGTAAGCAACAAGGGGGTGGTAGTACAATCTGGTACTAATGAAATCTTTACATATGAGCAATCTTTAATTATAAATTTTTGTACAAATCAGGCAATCACTACCAAAAAACATGTCCATTTTTCCATATTATATACAAAATACATTATTTTTAGTTCGAACTGTTGGATCCCCCTCTAGTTTATGTGCATGGAGCATCGAGGTCAGGATAGGAGCAAGCAGGTAGGGGAGGGCTGTGGTAGACTAGGAGTTGAGATCTAGAATGCGGAGATGAGCAGTGATGGTTCACAGCATGATTGCAGATCAGAATCGTAGGGGAGAGATGGAGTGGTTGAAGGTATGGTGTGCAGACTCGAGTTTTATCTCTTTGATATACTTAGTAAAGCGAAGTGATTCCAAGTTATTTCAAGGCATGTGAAGTTACTTCGAGCCTATCTTGACTTGATTTGCGAAGTAGATACTTGACAGTCAGTCAGTCAGTCAGTCAGCCAGCCAGCCAGCCAGCCAGCCAGCCAGCCAGCCAGCCAGCCAGCCAGCCAGCCAGCCAGTCATGCAGTCGGTCGGTCGGTCAAGGAAGTTACTTCACTGATCCAAACAGCTTGGCAGAGAGGTCCACCAGAATTGCGCAGTTGATCGTGCAATACATATTTGCTTTGCGTCTACTCTGACCTGTACTTGCCTCAGGAATGTCGTGAAACCAATCAAGCCTTTCAGCCGTTTCAATCAAGATGGATCTCCTTGGTAAACAGGATCAGCTCAACAACGCTGAAATCCCCAGGGAAAGGAATGGAATCTCCCTAGATCCCTTGACCAAAAAATCTAAGAGGACGCACAGAAAGAAGTCGCAAGTTCCAGGGTTGATTGACAGCTATGAAGGAATGCAGCGTCCTGGCCTGTTGGCATCCAAGGCAGACAAGAGGAACGGGAAGCACGAGTCCAAGAAGTCCAAGCTATCGAAGCTGAGCGAGACGCAGCAGGAGGCTCTTCGTCGCTTCCTCTCTCTCGTGCATGCTCGCATGAGGCTCAAGAATCTGTTCAAGGCTGTTGATTCCATCAGGTTCTACTTCCTGCTCCGCTGATCCTCTGATCCTCTTTTCTTTGGTCTGAGATCATGTCGTAGGTGGGCTCCACGCGTGAAGCCCTCGGAGGAGGAGGTGCAGGAGTTTGTCAAGCAAACGGCCGGGAGGTCAGGGACGTATGTCAAGGATACGTTCAAGGTAGCGAGCGTGGACAAAATTCCGGCCAGCAGCTGCATCGGATCTTTTCAGTGGACCAAGATTGACACTTCGGATCCTGCCAAGTACATGGTTGTCAACATGAACAGCGAGACTGGCAAGAGCTACAACACGATCTTGATCCGGTTCTTCATGGAACATGTATGGGGGATCCGGAAGCCGGATGTAGTCATCTCAGTGACAGGAGGGGTGAGTGGGAGGGTCGGGCCCCGGTGGTTGTGCCTGAGAGGTGGACGCAGGCTATGCAGTTCGACCTCAGCACCGACGAGAAGGATAAGATCATGAGGGGCATGATGGAGGGAACCAAGTCCCTCAACCCTCTCTTCGTGACTGGGGGGACGAACGCTGGGATTATGAAGTATGCACCCTCCTCCTCCTTCTCCTCCTCCTCCTCACTCTGTGCATAGGTATGTGGGGGAAGCAAGGGCCAAGTACAACCCTCACGCTCCTTTGCTCGGGATCGCTACCTTCGGATCCATCCTTGGCAGCGAGTACATGCTGGGCGGGGATAGGGATGCGAACGGCGCGCTGAAGACATCGTATGAAGGTGAGGAGAGGCTGAACGCCGTCCGGATCTGACGTTGACGGCAGAGATCTCGCGCAAGAGCGAGAAGGAAAGGAAGAAAGTTTCGGCCATGGGAGTGGGGCTGGTGAGGGGGAGGGGAATTATGGGGATGGTGGTGCTGACGGGCATCTGAAGGATGTCAACCACACGCACTTCATCTTTGCCGACGACGGCTCGTTTGCTAAGGTCAGGCTCACTTTGCGGGAGAGGAGGAGCGTGAATGTGTTGTTGCTAGTTCGGCAGGGAGACCCAGCTGAGGGCTGACATCGAGTCCTGCATCTCAGTCAACCTGGAAGGATGCCCGCGGGGTTTCAAGCAGCACTATGCTCGTGAGAACGAGATGGATAGAGTCATCTTCAAGACGCTGCTGAAGTGAGGCTGAGGAGGAGGATTGGGCGGAAGCTGTGGTGGAGCAGTGGGAGGAAGAGGCGAAGTAGCGGAAGCAGGTGCAGGAGCAGGCGGAGAAGATGGTAGAGGAGTAGGAGCAGGAGGGTGGTGGTGGAAGGGATGGTGATGGTTTTGGAGAGGGGGCGACAAGAGGAGATGGGACGGAGAGGGAGAAGAGGTCGAACATATAAGTTTGATCGCCATGTTTTGATCGCGATGAGAGTTTGATCGCCGATGAGCAGAACTTTCCGCTTCCTTTTCTGAAGGATGAAATGGCAGGTTGAGGATGGGCTGGGAAGGTCAAAACATCTCGGAGAACAAGGTCAAACCCAAGGATAATGCAGGGCCGATCCCTATCGTCTCAGTTTGCGTGCAAGGAGGAATGGGAACAGGTGAGCCGAAACTCTCTTGTCCCTCGCCCATTGTTCGCGGTGCTGTCTGGCGTGCCGTGCAGTGTTTGTGTCTGCTCCTTGAAGCTGTTTGCTTCTGTGACATTGGAAATGACACGCTTCACTCTGTGAAGTTTGAGTGTGCCGTTGTGTGTTCATTCGTATGGGATAAATTTATGTTCGTTGATGGATGATTGTTTTTGTCTGCACTTCGATGGCAAATTCCGAAAGAAAACAATCTCCTCCCTCCTCTTCGTTTCTTCTGCTCTTCCCTCCATTCTTCCCCCCCTCCTCTCCCCTACATCTCAGCCAACAGCACTGATCTTTGCTCTCGCGCAGTCAACACAGTGCTCGATGCTGTGAACAACGGAACGGCCTCCATCCTAGTGCGAGGGAGCGGGAAGGCGGCCGACCTGCTGGCCGACGCTGTGCTGATCCGGTTCGCCAAGGGGCACAAGCACTGCATCCCTCCCGGAAAGCTGGAGCAGAACCAGCGCTCTTTCCTCCGCTTCCTCACGGACCACTTCGGGCTGGACGAGGACAAGGACTTGATCAGCAACGAGGACAGCGACGAGTACAAGTGCTACAACTTCACGAGGATCATGGAGATGATGGCTGACTTCTCCAACGTTGACAAGTCGGCTATCAAGGACGAAGAGAGGAGGAAGGGTATCCAGCGAGACGCCGCAGCTCTCATCCGCTCCTACGAGCTCCCAACAGAAAACACGGACAACGTCGAGATGATCAGGAGAGCGCTGGCAGCGGTTGTGACCAACAAGTGCTGGGTGTTCAACCTGCATGACCCCGAGCCCAACGCCATCGACTTCAAGGGCTCGCTCCTCCAGTGCCTGCTCAACGGGATCGGGAGGGGGAGGAAAGACAACGCGTCAGCGCTGCAGGCAAAGCTCAAGTACTCGATCCTGTGGCAACGAGAGGACATTCTGCAGTACTCGATGAAGAAGAGCGGGCTGAAGAACAGGGACTTTCGGCAGTTCGTGGAGGTGTTGAACAATTCTTACATGCTCGCTCTCGCGCGCAACAACGTGCGCGCGGCGAAAATGCTGCTAGAGCACGGGGCGAGCATCGACATCTTCCGGATCAAGATGCTGGGGCAGAAGCAGATGATGGACGAGCTGAAGACGCTGGGGCAGGGCGGCGACTCGCTCACGCTCTCGCTCGGGCTGCACTCGTCGCAGATGACGGTGGCGGCGAAGAAGAAGAAGAGCGATGTTCACGCCATGAGAAGGTGGTCCCAGCTCATCAAGATGAGCAAGGGCGAACAGACGTCGGACCATGTGATGGCGCTGTCGTCCGACCTCAAGGACGAGTACATCAACGAGGGTTATAACTGCCTGCGAGCCATGACCACTTTCTTCAACAAGATGTTTGTCAGGCAGGAGGACAGCTTGCCGGAGGTGGGGGAGACGGACATGGTAGCGCTGACGGAGCCGTTCTCGCTGAAGATCAGGAGGAAGCTCTACAAGGAGCTCATGGAGAAAGAGCGAGAGCTGAAGAAGTTGGTGAAGCGGCAGGAGCTGGAGGGTCAGCTCACGCATAAAATCAAACAAGTGAAGGACTACAAGAAGACTATCATCCTCCAGTCCCTCTACACCAAAGTCCTCGGCAGCCTCTTCCGATACAAGCTTGGAACCGACGGGCCTTACGCAGATCTCTTCCTGTGGAATGTGCTGATGAACAGGAGGGAGATGTCGGAGTTCTTCTGGCAGGAGACTGTCAATCCTGTCCTCTACGCGATCACGGTGAGAGATGGTGGGATGCGCTGCGAGACGAGAAGTCGAGGGGGTGGGGGTCAAAGAGGAGGAGGAGGAGCAGCAGCAACAAGAAGACAAGGAGCAGGAGGGGCACAGGCTGCTGCTGCTGCTGCTGCTGCTGCTGCTGCTGCTGCTGCTGCTGCTGCATGAGAGATGCTGGTCGTGAGTATTCCTTGCAGGCTGCCTACCTCTTGCGCAACATGTCGGAGGAGAAGGGGGTGGACACGTTGAACGCCAAGTCGATGCAGAGCAATGCTGATCACTTCGAGGAGCTCGCCATCGGTGTTTACCGGTTCGCTCTGCAAGAAGATCTCAACTTGGCTATCCAGGTGCGATGACGATGATGCAGACAATGAGAGGGGAAGCATGGTGGTGGCAACAACACTGATGATGATGGTGGTGGTGGTGGTGATGATGATGGCGATTGTGATGAAGATGGTGATAATGATGATGATCATCGTCGTCGGCGTCGTCGTCGGCGTCATCATCATGATGCTGGTGCTGTGCTGGAGGTGGAGGTGTTGCTGGTGCGGAACATCACGACGATGACCATGACCATGACCACGACCACGACCATGACGATGCTGCAGGCGCTAGACAGTCCTCTGCGGATGTGGAGGGGCATGGCGCTGCTGGACCTGGCGGTCATGAGCAAGAGCGAGACGTTTGTAGAGAAGTGCTGCCAATCTTCCATCGAGAATCGCTTCTACGGCGACATGTCTCCCTATGACAACAACTTCTGGCGGATCTGCCTTGGCGTTTTCCCCTGCTGCGGCCTGCTCGCCATGGCAAACTTCTTCGAGTTCAAGCTCCCTCCCACGTCAGTCGCTCCTCCCCCTCTCTCCCCTCTTTCTCCTCCTCCCCTCCTCCTTACACAAGCTTCCTCTTCCTTCCTCCTCTACTCCTCCTCGCCCTCTGCTCGTCCTCCTACCGCTCGCTTCCTCTCCCTCTCCTTCACCTCCTCCACGCCCTCGCCTCCTCCTTCTGCTCGTTCTGCCAACACAACTTGTTTTGCCCTACCCTCTCTTTCGGGTCCTCTTCCTAGAATCTCCTTTCACCATTATCACCACCGCCCACTCGCAACCTCCTCCTCATCTTTCCTTTGTTCTTTCCTAGCAACTTGTCGTCACACTGCTTACTCATTCGCAGGAGCGAAGTCCTCCGATCCGCCACTCAACGAAGGAAGGTGCAGATGAAACCTGCACTCCTCTCACCCTCAATCAACAAGCTTCTGCTCTTTACTCCCTCCCTCCTTCCCTCCCTCCCGCCTCGCCTGCTCTCTGTCTCACCCGCTCCTCCTGTTCAGGCGCCCGACGGGTTTCCTTACGAACCTCGCAAGAACGACGTGTTGCTGGCGGTACTGCAGAGGAAAGCGCATGGGCTTGACATGAAACTGCGCAGACTGGAGCAGGTGAGAGGAGAGGAAGAGAGAAGTGCAGGGAACAGAAAAGAAGGGGAGGACGGACCGGAGTGGGGAGGGGGAAGAGGAGAGGCGAGGCGAGGCGAGCGGGGAGGAGAGGAGAGGAGGGGAGGGGAGGGGAGGGGAGGGGATGGGAAGGGAAGGGATGGGAGGAGAGGGGAGGAGAGGGGAGTGGTCAGGTATGACGATTGTAAGTATATGCATGCAGAGGGTAGATGCTGGAGACACAGTGCCAGAGCCCGAGCTCAAAGAGCTTTGGATGAAAACTTTCTCTCCTTTTCAGAAATTCGGTCTGATTTCTCCCTCCCACCTCAAAATTCTCCTATCGACCCTTCCCTCCTCCTCCTCCTCCTCCTCCTCCGCCTCCTCCTCCTCCTCCTCCTCCTCCTCCTTCTCCTCCTCCTCCTCCTCCTTCTCCTCCGCCTCCTTCTCCTCTTCCTCCTTCTCAACCCAATTACTCCGCTGCCTCCTCTTCGCAATCCCCCTTCCCTCTGCTTTCTCCTCCTCTGGTTGCTCTCTAACATGCTTTCTGTCAGTTTGCTTCTGGGCGGCTCCTATCGTCCTTTACCTGGCCAACGCCATGCAGTCAATTGCCGTCACCATCGCCTTCACATTGTCTTTCATGCCCAACACCCTTGTCGACAACTCAGTCATCATCTTGTACAACTCCGACAAGATACATCAGATCGAATGGGTCCTCGTTGTGTGAGTACTCCTCCATTCACGCTCCTCCTCCCTCCAGCGCATCACCCATCCTTCTCCTGCACCACCACCACCACCACCTCCTCCTCCTCAACCCCTCCCTCCTCCTGCTCACCCTCCCCTTCACCCTCACTCTTTCGCAGATACTTTATCTCTTCCCTTTTCCGCGAGGTCATGCAGATGGCTATCGCTGGTTACCGCGATTACCTAATGGACGTCTGGTGAGAGAGGAAGGGAGAGAGGAAGGGAGAGAGGAAGGGAGAGAGGCAGGGAGGGGAGAGGAGGTAGGGAAGGAGGGGAGAGGAGGGAGGGAGGAAGGGGAGGGAGGGAGGAAGAGGAGGGAGGGAGGAAGAGGAGGGAGGGAGTTCACATCTTACCCTCACAAGGAACATCTTTGACCTCGGCGCCATGATCTCTTTCGCCTTGGGCTTCGCCCTCCACTTTGAGTGCATCTCCACCCACTGCAACAGCCTGGAGTTCAGCTCGGCCATGTCAGTCTTGAACTCTCCATCTTCATCCTCCTCCTCCTCCTCCTCCTGCTTCACCACCACCACCACCACCTCGTTCTCCTCCTCCTCCTCCCTCTGCTCCACCACCACCACCACCACCACCATCTCCTCCTCCTTTTCCTTTCCCCTCCTCCTCCTCCCCTCCCCTTTGAAAATCGACCGCTCCAATCCCACCCGCTC